CTTGGGAGCGTGGAGGGACAGCGCAGGAGGGGAAGGCCCTCTATGAGGTGGATTGATTCAGTGACTGGGATAATCGGGATGGGAGTGTCAGACACAGTGCGATTGGCACAGGACAGAGCAGAGTTTAGGACTGTTGTACATAGGGTCGCTATGAGTCGCAAATGACTCGATGGCACATAACAACAACAAGAAGATTAGAATTTGTAGGTTTTTTAAAAATATGTATGTTTATGTTTCTTCAACTGAAATTTCTTCAGTGAGATTTTATACAAAGTGGGTTCAATGCTTGACTTGATCCCATTTGCTATCTATTTTCTAAGAGACTGTATTTCTTATTTTAGGTCTCAATCTCTAGTTTTGTTTTTTGATTTGAGAATTTTTCTTTGTCTTTATTTTTACTATTTTGGTTTTCTGTATTTTAACCCATGTTTTAAATTGGCAATAATATTTTTTTTTATTTGAAAATATTTTTCTTTTCCAACTTTCTAGCGCTCCTTATGGGCTTTCTTACCTCACTCTAGTTGCCTCTAGCTATTATTTCTTAATTTTTATTTTATTATTTTTTGTGTGTGTACCATCAAATTGGATCTGACTGGTGCAGGAGGAGACTGTCCCTCCTTCTCCAGCGAAGCATCTGGTGGATACAAACCACACACCTCTGGGATTGCAATGCAGCTTCTTGCCACTAGGCCACCAGAGCTCACTTCTCCAGCTCCTATTTCTGAGCTGATGCTGTGTTCTGAGTGAGGTTCATTCAGGTGCCTGAGCCCTCTGATAGGTTCCTTGGAATTGGCTCTGACTCTGAGTCACACTGAGTGATGGGCAACCTCTGCTGTGCTTGAGTCCATAGTTACAGTCACTGTGTCAGTCCATCATGCCAAGGATCTTCCTCTGGATAGCTGACCTTCCACTTTTCAAACCTGATGTCCTTGAAAGACTAGACCCTTCTGAGAATGTGTCCAAAGTATGGAAGGCAAAGTGTCAGTTCTTGTTTCTAAGGAGCACTCTGGCTACCCTTTTTCAAAGATAGATTTGTTTGTTTTTCTAGCAGTCCATGGTTTATGCAATACTCTTGGCCTACATTGTTATTCAGAGGCACAAATTATTCTGTGCATCTTATTAATTGTCTAAAATGCAATAATGGTTTCGCATGGTGGACAGTGTTTGGTGGAGCTCCTGATCAAAACACGCTTGGAAGCAGGAGTGGCATCCACTTCCGTAATAGCTTGCCTCTGAAACCTTATGAACCTGGAGAGAGGATGAAAGTCACACAAATGTTTAGGACTTTTGTTCGTAGGGTCACTATGAGTCACCTACGACTCGATGGCACTTAACAACAACATGCACAGGAAGCAATTGAAAATACCAGGGCTTGGATCAGACACACATTAGTTTTTAAACTGACATTACTGCTCTTTAGCATTTTAAAGAGGTTCTTGGCAGTGGCGTTGCCCATTGCAATATATCATTTGATTTCTTGACTGCTGCTACCCTGTTACCGTGTTAATTAATATCAAGGAAAAGAAAATTCTTGAGTTCAACCTTTTCTCCATTTATCACGATGTTAATTGCTGCAGTTGTGGAGATTTTTGTTTTATTTTATGCTGAGGTGTAATTCACATTGCAGGCTATAGTTTCTGAGCTTCAGTTTAACAGAAAGTGAAGTAATATCTGCTCTCTGAGTCATCAGAGCAAGAGATGGCCAGTGTTCTTGAGGGACAGGAGATCTTGGTCTCCTTGGCCTCTTGCCAGCCTTATGCACAGAGGGGAGTCAGTCCATCTGCAGCCCTTCTCACCTAAGGCTGTGACAGAGACCCAGACTCCACTGTACCACTGTGTGTAAGACATGAGCAGCCTTTCCATGCATCTAGAATGAACCTATGTTTCCTTCTTGGGAACTTTGAGAAAACAGCATTTGTATCACTTTCTATATGACTTTCTCCTTTCATAGAACTCTGGTAAGAAAGGCTAAATCAGGTGCATACAATTACAGATTCAATATTGACTTTCTCTAGGAGGTGGATAGAAGAATATCATAGATTTCTGGGCCTGTCACTGCAGTGGTTAAGTGATATATTAAACACTGAGCTACACTGTCACAGCTTTATTATTTAACTCTTATATGGTCACATGGCATTTCTCAAGCTGAAGGAACTGAAGAACAGATCAAGCCATGAGTTGCAACACTTAAGGATGTTTTGGGAAAAATATGAAATGATCCAGGAAGCATTAAAAGAAGATGGGAGGAATATACAGAGTCACTGTACCAAAAAAA